GCCTGCCTAAAAACATTCTACTTAGGACATTTATTATTTCGCTATTTTCAGACACATTTAAATTGTACATGAGAGTAGTGCACTTGCACATATTCTGTTCTTTACAGTTAATATCTTGAAGCGATAGATTGTAAGTTGAATTTTTGGTTTCATGCGCAATGTTATTAGGATAGCACAAATTTAGATATAAGTAATTTTCCAAGGGAATTCCCAGTGTAGATTAGAGTAGTTATTTCAGAGTATCAATTTTGAAGTAAATTATGTGTTCATTTACATGAGTGTGTGTTGTAAAGGTTTCTATCTGTGTTTTGATTATTCTTTGTAAAAGTGTGATTCTATATTCTTGGTTTCTGTCATTAACATATGCCACTAAAAGTTTATGAGTAAATTATACGCTCGTTTGCGTGCAATCTGTGTGATTTTATTGTGTCAAGGGTTCAAACCTTTCTCGCACCCTGAAGATCCTGCTCCCTAGATTTTTAAGCTCGCTTCACGAGCAAAATCTTGATAACCCGCTTACGGTTCATGCGTGCTACTGTGAAGGTGGTAAGTTGGGGGTGTAGGTGTGTGTGTGTGTGTGTGTGTGTGTGTGTGTGAGAGAGAGAGAGAGAGAGAGAGAGAGAGAGAGAGAGAAAGACGGGGAAGGACGTTGCACACCCTAATGGCATGACCACGAGCCGCCACTGATGGAATGGCATGGAGGTGATGCAAGCAAGGAAAGATGTACCATTCATTCTAGAAAATAAAACTGCCTTCGGTGAAGAGTTCCAGCAGATCAACACTTGACAAGGATACTGAAGTCGTCTTCAAGCAGGCTACTTGAATTTGCTAAAGACTTGTAAGAAACATTCTGGCATAACTAAGGGCAAGAAGAAGGACCTAGTGTAATTGTGTTATTAATTTTAAAATATTACAAAAAGAAGATTTTCTAAATAAGACTCCAATTTTTTCTTTGAACTTTTCGTAAGGATAGTGATAAATGTACTCTATAAGATGACGTAAACGGCAAATTGCTTTGTCCTTTTGTTTTTCCAAAAATTACAAAAATGTATTTTTTTACTTGTCTCTCATGTCGTTAATATTTACGAGTATATTAGCAGCTATTTGTTCATATTATTGTATTTATGAGTACATGTGCTTTAAATAATGTCAGAAAATGTTTCTCGAAAACTCAACAGCTTTCTGTGAAAACTAGCTCAAAATTCCGCATTTTTAGAATCGCTCAAAAGCCATTTTCTCGAAAACGGTTCCAATTGTTTTCTTCAAATATTTCAAACGGATAGTGCTAATTGCACTTTTTAATATGACGTTAAGTTCATTTCGGTGTATTTCTTTTGTTTGTTTTTTAAATACACAAATATAAATTTATTGATAGATTCCTCACGCCGTTGATATGTACATTTCCAGCAATTTGTAAACACTATTTTTTACACACAAACATTTTCTGTGAAAACGAGCTTCAAATTTCGAATTTGCAGCAGCGCTTTAACACCAGTTTTTAAAAATGGCTCCAAATTTTCCAAAGAAAATTGCCACCTAGGACGAAATATTTGTGTTCTGTAATAATCTTAAAATAACATTTCTGCTCGACAATTAGGAAACCGAAAAATTAAGAAAATGTCAAAAAATGTACTTTGCGCGGCGATAGATGCAGCTGGCAACAGTATGTGGCAAGTCCGAGTAGCTAGCCGAGACCAAAGGAAATAGAAAACTAATACGTGAAAGTGTATGCCATTCTGTAGCACCGTTAGTTTGTCTTGTAGGACGAAATTTTGAAATTTTTTCAAGCTTGTTCCAGGGTTCTAAAACAGTAAAAAAAATTTAATTTTCTATTTTAATATATTAATGTATTTCTGTATGATTATTTACGAAGTTCAAGATTAGTACAATGAATTGCTACACTAGTATGTTAAATAAAGTGTAAAATACACTTATTGAAACACTGCAGTTTTAACGGTCTTCATTGATAATGAGAAATTGCCTAACTGTAAGGTGTAATTGTACGGAAACGAGTGGTCTTAAAAAATAACTGATGTTCCAGGGGCGGATTCAGAGACAAATTTTTGGAGGGAAAGTTCTAAATTTTGGTCGAGTATGTCATATTACAGATTTTGTAAAATGTCGCAGACTACACTCAGCTCATGCTGCCATACGGCTTCATTCGTTTTAATGATTACTCGAAAATATTTTTACTTGAACATTTCGTGAAAAGTTAAAATTAAGTTACTACTGAAAATTTTTATAGGGGTGGGGAATTTCCGTCACCGTGGATCCGCGTCTGTTTGTTCTCATTAGACGCAAAATTTATTACTCTATAACTTTTGTCTAGACCACTGTATTGATAGATGGGTTGGTCTAGATATTACCAATAAACAGAAGTTAAAATGGAATTTTTTCATAATATGTAAAATTTGTCTAATTTCGATTAACACTAGTACGGGAATATATGTTTAAAAAATATGATTCTGTTCTCATTCAAAACAGAGTTTAATGCCCTACAACTTTTATTTTGGATATTGTGAGTCCTTTACGAGATATAACCGTAAAACATCCGAAATACCTACGATAGTCATATTGGGCCACAAATGAAGCCAATGAAACAAAAGCTTTTGTCGCAATTATTTCTGATTGGGATTTCTACTGGCCTAATGGAACAATATGGGAGTTTTTCATGATCTGGCAGAGAGTGATAGGCGGGCGGACAAACAGCAGCAGATTATTTAAGGCAACTATTTTAATGTATTTTATTTCCTAGTGGTATTTCTAGTGTGCTAGGAAGAAATATTCACTCTGCAGGTGATGACGCACTCTAGTGTCACGTTTCGCAAATATATGTTGTCTCCAGTAGTATAAAAAACTCTATATGAGCTCTGTGCTATTAGGGTGTGCTGCAATCTAGTAAGGAGAGAAGCAAACAACGTGAATGTGCTGCAAACTTCAACTGACAGTTTGAAACTCGTGAGCTCTTCACATCTACTAATAAGTTCATCATTGTGAATCTTCTGGCCATAGCCATAGCAGACCAAAGCAAGCAGGAAAGACAAGCGTGGTAGCAGACGTGACAAGAAAAATGGTAAATATTACATCTGCATGCGCCTAGCGCCAATTTTTGTGATGCATGTGTAGTCTAAAATGGTTTGATTGATGTAATAAATTGGGTTTTTGCAGGCATCGTATTCGGAAGACCAGTTGGCCGGTAAGTGAAAAAGAGGTCAGCTTGTATGGTTATGACTCAGCGGTACGAGGCACGCCCCGATCCAAACTTCGCCTTATTAGGACATAGATTGAAAGTAAAATAACGTGTTTTCTCCGTTTGCTTTTTGTGGACGAACATTTGCTACATCGGTTCAGTACTTTAGCGGATCGCCGGGCGAGTGCAAGGGGCGTGTCTTTTCCTTCAATCTGTGAGCTTACACAGTCGCTATCATGTACGGATACGAGCCTCCTTCCAAAATGATGTCTTCGGTGGAAGGTAGATTTGATTATTTTACGATTTGTGAACAATACAGATTTATGCAGCTATTCAAAATGGTGTGAAACAAGTTTGTGTGTCATATTGATAGTGCAATTTGTTTCCATTAATATTTGAGACTATTTTTCCAAAATTGTTAGCTTTTAATTCATAATTTTTGTTATAATGGGCTGGTGAATGTTGTATTTATTGCAAGCTATACTAGCATAACTCCTGCTGTTATAATTTATTTGCATTGTCCTAAGAATTTCTTAGGGGGTTGTGTTGTTTTGGAAGTTTTCTGACTAATATTTAGAGGAATTATATGGATTTATTGATATATCAGACAGGTTTTACGATTTGTGATCAATACTGATTTATGCAGATATTTAAAATTGTATGAAGCGAGATGTTTGTGTGTAATGCTGATAGTTCAGTTTAGGTAGTTAAATTTTGTTAGTCACTTATTTTTTGTGACACTTTTATGTACTGTTGTGAATTTGTATTCTTGTGTGAACAGAATTCCAGGAAGCTTTCCAACTTTTTGATTCACGTGGTGATCAGAAAATTCATGTCAATCAAATTGGTGATGTTTTGAGAGCTCTTGGCCAGAATCCTACGGAATCTGATGTGAAGAAATTCACGCATCAACACAAACCAGGTACTTGAAATATATTCTGCATCTTCAATAAAGTTTATAAGATTTATATCATAATTTACGGATGAAGATAAATACAATTTCAAATAAATCTTGATAGTTTCCCATGAAACCCTTTCTTCTACCAAAAAAAGTCACAAAAATTCACTCATCTTTCCAGCTTTTTTATGAGAATGTTAGTGAGGACATAAAGAAGCTGTTTGGATCTTTTCATTTGATAATAAATTCATGTTGAGGTGGAATTAATTGTATATTGCCACCTCACTAAATTATTAATTCTGGGAATGCTTTGAAAGGGTTAAAAATGCTCTTTTCAGAACATTCTTGCTATGCCATTTGGGGATTTATTCCATGTTGAAAAATTCTGAAATCATAACTTGCAAACATTTTGAGCGAAATGTCTTGTAAAATTTGAGAGATTAGCTGATTTCTGTATGTTAATATATATTTTCAGATGAGAGAATAAGTTTTGAAGTATTTCTTCCAATTTATCAAGCCATCTCTAAAACACGTACATCAGACACTGCAGATGACTTCATTGAAGGTCTGCGGCATTTTGATAAGGATGGAAATGGTTACATTTCATCAGCTGAGCTTCGACATCTCCTCACTACTCTTGGTAAGATTCCTTGCTTTATTTAAGTAGTTTTTTAAATGGATTGTAGAAAATTTGGAAATGAAAGGTAGTAGAGAAGGAAAGTGATAGTAGAAAATGTAGTAAAAAGCATCTCTCTTACGTAATTACTTCTTGGTGAAGTTAGTTTTTAGTTTAGAGATTTGTTCCAATTAAATATGAACTACAGACAAGCTGATGAGTGAGAAGTTTCTAAAGATAGTTCCCTGAAGATAATGGTAATAATATAAATATCAATTTTTTATAGTCTAAATCTTTTCAGAGGATTTACGAGTGATAAGTATAAGCTCACTCTGTTTTTGGATTATGAAATTGTAGTAGAACTCTGTTATTAGAGCTAGTGATAACCTAGATTAAGAAGAGCTTATACGGCTTGTAAGAGGCAATATAGGCTGCCTCTAATAATGTATAAATTATGGGCGTTTTCTTTCTGCACATAAGAGTGGAAGTGCCTTGCTTATAGACAGAATAATGAATCCATAGGATTGCTCCCTCTCCCCACGAGTACGTCAGAAATTGATATGTCCTGTGAAAATGAACTGCGAGGAGACTTGTGATTTTTATTCTCAGGCATCCTTGACAAATGCTAGGGATTTCTATCTGTGGAAATGCCCTTTGGAAAAGTGTGAAAGTGAAATATGTTCCCACTTCCTGTGAATGATTTTGCAGAAGATGCTAATGTGTGAATTCTATCAAGAGCTCATTCATACTATTATCCGGATCAAGTTTAAGGAAGCAAAAAAGTGAACTGTGCAGCATTTGGCAAGATGTAAGGCTCATAATCTAAACACCTTGTTTATTTTGTAGAGTTTTTCACCATCATTGTAAATTGGTATTGTTCGTCTGGTAAACTACTATTTGCATGGAAGGTGACATCTGAACATGGAGTTAAGTTTTTGAAGTGATGGCCCTGTGGAGGAAGTTGATGTGAATATCATAAGCTCTTGACATAGGTCAAATGATGAACAGAAAAATATAGTATAACCTAATACAAGAATAATGAACTTAAATTAGCATTTCCTCCTTAGTGCTCTCACCTCTGAAAAGGGCCCTTGTAACGGGCTTCTACAGTAATTGAACACTGCTTTATTGATCTTTGCTTATTAAATTTTAGAGAAAATTTTGCTTATTGACCTGTTAAAAGAAAGATGAAAGAATGAATAGATAGTTTGCAGAATGGAAATTAATGTTAATAATAAATGGAATGTTGCTGTAGGAGCTGTTGAAATGCATTGTTTGAGGCATGAAGTGGAAGGCACTTGTATGTACATTTGAATTAGATCTTCTATTTAGTGGCAAGCACAAGAAATTTGAATGAATAGTAGTAGTGGGAGTAGGGAATAAATTTGCTGTAACTCGGAATTGAGAAGAGTTGTTGAAATTGGAAAAAGTGTTGTGAGAAGACAAGTCAGTATAATTAGGTGCAAAATGTATTTCCAAGGACCACATTATTATTATTATTATTATTATTATTATTATTATTATTATTAATTTTTTTACCAGGAAACTTCCCAATAATTGCAGTAAATGTTCAGAATAACAACATGGTGTGTCTCTAGATATTGATAAATATCCTTTCATTGGACTTGATTGCTTGAGTGTCTACTACTGTAAGTAAATTCAAAGTGCACAAGTGATTTGGTACCATGTGCCAATTTTTATGTGGTAGGGGAATGGGGAAGAATGAGTAGTCAAGAGTACACGACATACAATGTACAGAATTGGTGGTGTACATATATGTCAAAGTATGCAGAGCTGAAGGCATTGTGTCAAGTCTCTAGTAAGGCGTAAATTTTCTTTGTGCGATTGTGATGATTCTCATACCGACAGGTATCGCATCAGATATATCTTGACATCAATATTCACTTCTTATGATCACTGATACCATCATTGATATAGTGGAAGGCAACGAGCCACTACTAAGAGCTCAACTGGTCAGGAAACAGGAAGCCATAAAAGGGTTCCTCCCTCACATATGCATTGGAAGAGACGGTGGCACACGTCATATTATGAGAGCAGAGGGTATTTAATTTTTAAATATTTCATATTGCAATCAAAGACAGGGTTAAATTACAAATATTATTGTACACATAGTTTTAAGTGAGTGTAGTCCATTTCTCCAGCCACATGGTTGCAATAAGAAAATAAGTTAAAAAAGCTTTAAGAGAAATGTTACAAAACTAATATTTTTAATTTAGCAAGTTTTCTTTCTAATGCAAACCCCATCTCCAGTTATTTCCATTTTATTAATGATTCTATTTGGTTTGCTTTTAGTCGAGGAAAAGGCATTGTTTGTGTCAATTAAACATTGGCATAACCGGTTCCTTATTGCACTGCCATTTAATGTAAGACTTCTGGGAACGGGAGCTCAAAAGCCCTTAATATCGAATATCAGATATTTGAAATTTCATTTCGCTTAATCATATTTACTTCGTAGATAGTTGAAATGCTGTCGATTTTTTCTTAGAAAGACAGGTTTTGAATGTCCTTAATAACGTGGTGAATTTTCCTCCTCCTACCCGAAGACAGTACTCTGATGAAAACGGAGACTCGATCAACTGGGACGCGCGAGTAGCCAATCGGGAGCTTCGTTGCTACTTAAACAACCACGTTCAACTGATCAAGCGTAATTCATCCCCTGTTTAAAAGGAAGAACAGATGTTGCGAGCTGAAACGTGCTTGTCAAAGGGTTGTGTTTTTTCTTCCAATGCTTGCAAATTCTGTCGTTGGGATCCTGTTCGTGAAAAATAGGATAATTATTGAAAAAGTATTTTATTTTCGATCTCGTAGGTTTTAACGAGCATTTCCATTGTGACGGTAAACCTTCATTATCACGAATTCCGAGGGACCGAAATTATAGGAGTTCCTGTAATTCGAGTATTACGAATGTTCGTATTCCCTTGCCGGGACCGAAGTTTTGTTCGTGTTGCGGCAGAATTCGTGCTAACGAGAGGTTACTAAAATTTCAAATTATATGATGTAACATTCTTCTTTGTTGAATGTTGGGTCTCGGCAGAGATAGTTTTGTGCTTTACTGTCATTGTCACACGCACTGCATGATTTTTCGCGGGCTCTCTAACGCGAATTCTAGGAGATATCAGTTCTGAACTAAGATTTTTCAGTTCTATACCTATACTGTCTGGATACTTTTAATGAGATGAAGTTTTGATGTTGGGCGTTATAAATGCAGATCAGAAGCGCTCAGCTTGTATAATGCTTTATTCCCTTCAGATTTATTTTATTAATTCCGAGTTGGTGGCAACAAGGGTAGGAAGGAGATTATTTCAGAGGAAAATAACCTGCTATTGCGTGCCAGTAGAAAAAAATATGGGCATCATCCACATGACTCAAAGTACAAAGAAGTATAACGGTACAAAGTGCGGAGGAATATGTTAACAGTGACGGTTTAAAAGTGTGACTTTCGATTGTTATCCCTTAATTAGTACAATGGGGTCTGCGAGACCCGCGGTATTGTCAATATCTTCTGCATTTTCGCACTAAAGGAAAACTTTCTGCATTCCTTAGTATCAAAGATAATTCCTAAATACTATTAAACTTACTACTTTCTAAATGAATTATCCAAATAAATGTTTATGAGAGCAAGTATCAATAATAAACTCTGATGCTATTCTAAACTCAAAGCTACTGTATTTTATGTGGACAGTTCTCCCCTTGTGACGATTTTCACTAACAAGTTCTTATTTAAAATATATCAGGTGAGGTAAATTCAATCGAAAACTTATTTTTATTAAAGGAGAATCATTGCCAGAGCGCATTTTGTCTCTCTAACAAGATCATTGCACAAACACAGAAATGGAGAAACTTTGGTAATCTATTATTGCCTACATCCACAAGTCATCGATTTCTATTCCACGTCAAGCCTCTAGTTCACACACTATAGAAGTATTGGCATCTAAATCATTAGATTACTAGTTCGCGAATAGCAGAGAGCTACACAACTGGTACGATACGTCTGAGGTCCCTCCGGAGGATCGGCTTTCGTTCGGAGAAGTTGAGAGCCTTTGTTTTGCCACTTTCTTAATCGTCGCCGTGTACGACCCTCCTCTATCAGCTAGTTACACACACAATCACTGTCGTTGCAGTGCGCCCCGTTTGAACGGCGAGGTCACGGTACGACAAAACCGCTTCCCGGAGACTGATCATTCTGCCCTGTTCGAACTTGCTGACATGCTTATATTACGCGCATTGGCGTCGAAGAGGTGTACCGGCACATGCAAGTTTCGACATAGTTTGACGGCTTTACACCGACGGAGTGTGGCGTAACATGACCTGGCCTGTCAGACAAAGGAGGGCGCTGGTAGGCCAACGTGCAAGCCATCTCTAGGCAAATTTGATCACTTCTTAAGGATACACTGTTCTACACATCCACCAATTTTTAAGTGATTCCGAACATTCCTTCTGGGAATTGAAATTTTCTGTATATACATAATTTTATGTTATATCAAAAGGAAATGACCCTTTTTTTTATATGACGAATTTTGCGTCGATTTCGACTAATTATTTTTTACCTTCATTTTACCCCAGTCATTTTTGAAACATTTTTCGTTGATTTCATAGATTTTAATATAATTTTAATGGTACTTGCTTCAAATAATATACTCGAGATGCAACAAAAGTAGAATTTGTAAGTAGCCTATTCGATTTCTTCGCCCAGAAATTGTGATGTTAGCCGTTGTAATCTAAGGTTCCTTGGACGCATATCAGCTCCATTGTCAGTTTGGCAGATTTCGAGATAAAGACCGAATTTTCCCGGTAAAAGTACAGTCCAAACGAAACGTTTGCCAGCCGAGTTCACGTGAACCATAGAAAGAATCCTCTTTTAGAGCAGTAACATTTCCAATAGCTTGAGTTATTAATTTGCAGTGGTTTTGGTCAAATTTTCATTGGGTTCATTTTTCTTTGCATTTAGGGTATTATAAAAACATTTAAGAGCATTTCATTGATCATTTTTGGCGATCAAATTC